GCAGTTGCCCTGGTTAGATTTTTTTTATTTTTTTATTTTATTTTGTCAATATGATGTAAGCTAGAGCCATTTGAGGTGAAGGTTCATTTAAGGAAATATGTCCATTAAAATGACCCATTGATAAGCCTGTCAGACATTCTTTTTGTTAATAATTGATATGGAGGGACTACCCCAGTATAAATGGTGCTATGCCTAGGCAAGTGGTACTGGGTTGTATAAAAAAGCAGACTGAGAATGCCATGGAGAGCAAGTCCTCCAAGTACTCCTCTATGGCCTCAGCACCAGTTCCTGTCTCCAAATTCCTGCCCTGTGTTCCTGCCTTGGATTCTTGTGACTATGGAATAAAAGTCAAACATACCTTCTCCTCTCTAAGGTTTTTTTGTCCTAGGGTTTTATCATAGCAGTAGAAACCTAAACAAGATAGAAATATTATATGATAATCCTATGCCTAGGGAACAAAGCATTTACATGGCTAGACAGTGAACCTTGGTCTTATCCAATTTGCCATTTGCAGAAGAAGGACAGCCATGTCAGGAAAAACCGGCTGACAAGACAAGATGGAATTAATTCATGTCAATAAAATTATAGTAGACTGGTACCAGAACACTGAATTTTTTAACTTTTGTTGAAGAATGTAGCTGTCAAACACTATGCATTTTTTTCTTGATTTCTTTACAATGAAAGGTAGATTTCTTAGAAAGTCAATGGTTAGAATCATTGTGTAGCTAAGAAGAAACAAGGTAATATATGTTAGCTGGAGAATGTTCTGAACTTAAAATGTGTTTTGATACATAGTAATCACAGAAGATACCTCTTGATTCTATCAATAATATTCATTTGTCACCATAACAATAGCCTCACTACCCTTTCCAAAGAGATTTTTGCAATAACCAATGGTGCAAAATAGGGTTGTATGATTCCAATCAACCCTCTATTAGTTATGAAATTATTCCTAGTTCCTGTCTCTCATTGCTGGAGGCTGTGAGGACCTTTGTGTGTAACAAACAACCTTTGATGCGCAAGCCTCAGCAAAAATAAGTTTCTCTATCATTTCCTGTTGCTGGAGAATTCCTCTCCAGCTCCCGCCGCCAAGTCCCTGAGCCCACTTATAAAATAAACACACAGACTCTTACATTATTTAAACTGCTTGGCCATTAGCGCAGGCCTATCATTGTCTAGCTCTCACTCTTATATTCAGCCCATTTCTATTAATCTTTACTTTGTCACGTGGCTCGTGGCTTACTGGTACTTCACATCTTCCTTGTCTTGGCAGCGGTTCCAGGAGGGCTCTCTTTCCTTCCTCCTTCCTCAATTCTCCTCTCTCCTTGTCTTGCCTATACTTCCTGCCTGGTCACTGGCCAATCAGTGCTTTATTTATATAGAGCGATATCCACAGCAACTTCCTTGTTATGAAATTGGAAGTTAAAAGACCTAAGTATTGCCCACCATTTCATTTTTTAATATATAAAAGACACAGAGTCCAGAAGAGGGTTCAAATCAGTTTTACTAAAGGATGGATGCATACAGCTGAAGCCTGAGGCCCAAGTGGTGTTTCTTTCTTCTTCTCTGAAGTGATAACTGCAGAGCTCCTCTGGGCTCACTCATGAACTTATCTACCCAGTCAGAGACTGAGGCTGGAATGTGGAAAACAAATCTTGGATGGGTCCAACATGTGCAGGTACTGCTGATTCCATTTATGGCATATAGACTGGAAGTTCAAAAGCAGGTCCAAGACAGACAAGGAAAGAGAGAAGAAGCAGGAAGGTAAGTAAACATCAACCGTCAGCAACTATCTTCCCAAAGTAGAGAAAATTTGCCCAAAGATGCTCAAATCCCATCATCTACAACAATCCCAAGAATCACTCCAGAAAGCATCTCTGAGTACTTGCTCTTTATTGGCAATATTGTGGGAGAGCCTTTCTTGATTCAACTCAGCAGATAGAGAAGTATCATGGAAAGGATGACAGAGTTAAGAGTTTGACAGCTCTTATATAGGAAGACTTTATTTTGCCTAGCAGTGTTTTTGTTTGTTTGTTTGTTTTGTTTTTTGTTTGTTTGGGTTTTTTGTTTGTTGTTTTGTGGTGGCAATTTCTGGCACTATGAAATAATTATACTACTTTTCTGCTTATTCTGTTTTTCTAGGTCTCTAGGTTTCTTGATATCATTAATTTGATTGTACCTTTTTATATCAAAATATGTTTTCAATGCTCATACTAATGGTTGGGCCTCAGTAGCTTTATTAAAATGTGAATCTCCTTATTAACTGTGATTCTTTTCAACTTTTATCACTAGAAGTGAACTTATTTCCTGGTCCTAACATGCATCCTCCTTCAGTTTCCAATAGATTGACTCTACAGCTTTATGCTAAATATAACTGAAGTATTGAAAAACTTTCTTTATCCCAGAATAATTATTAGGTATTCTGTTATATTAACATATTAAACAACTGTATGTTAACATAGAAATGCAAATTTCACTATACTAAGATACTGCTCCATCACAGTAATATGGCTTCCATATATTTTATAATTGAGTGACATTGAGTCATTGCAAATCCTCCCCAGAGTAAGAATATTAGACAAACTACAAAATATACTACAAATATATAACATTATACATTATGGTTCATGCTGTGGGATGGTCTATATGTCAAATATGTTGCTCTGATTGGTCAATAAATAAAACACTGATTGGCCAGTAGCCAAGCAGGAAGTATAGGCAGGACTAACAGAGGAGAATCGAGAGAACAGGAAGGCGGAGGAGGACACTGCCAGCAGTGCCATGACAAGCAGCATGTGAAGATGCCGGTAAGCCACAAGCCACGTGGCAAGGTATAGATTTATAGAAATGGATTAATTTAAGATGTAAGAACTAGATATCTAGAAGCCTGAGCCATTAGGCCAAACAGTTTAAATAATATAAGCATTTTATTTTATAAGTGGGCTGTCGGACTGCCAGGGCTTGGCAGACCCGGAAAGAAAACTCACCAGCTACAGGTTCAAGCTAAGATGGAAATATATAATACATTACCTACATCTTTCTAATTATATAGCTTATCCTATCAGTAAATACAGGTTGTGTATACATGTACTAGTTCAATGTATGTATGAGTGTGTGTGTGCGTGCATGCGTGTGTGTGTGTGTGTGTGTGTGTGTGTGTGTGTGTGTGTGTGTGTGTGTTCAAATCTACAAATATAAACATGGTATCTTCATAGAAATTTTAAATCTTTGAGGCTATAGGCTTTTCCACCATAATACTTAAGAGAGAAAGTAACAACAAACAAGCATAAATAATTTATGTGAAAGTTGTGTAGGATTTACCTAAAGACACATATACATGTATTATTACCTAAATACCCATATATCCATAATATACTAATCTACTCTCACCTGAATCAGAATTTTATTATGTTCTACACTGACTACCAGCCTTACTATATTATATACTGACCATCTTCTAGAACAATTGTTTTCTCCTTATTTGATTCAGGCAAGCAATCACAGTCTTCTAACATTATAATGAATATATTTTTAGATTCTGATTCTATGTAAATGAAGTAACATTTTAGGGTACCAATGTCACTTTTGATATCCATTGCTTAAAGTCATCAGGACCTATTCTTCCCTTACCTATTAACAGATGTTTTTGAAAATAGTATTCAGTTTTTATTTAAAATGAGAAATATATTACTTCTAGAATTTAAAAATATTAGTTTTAACATGTTTTTGAAATACAAAGGCTAAATGATTTACCTTGGATAAAACTTTAAAGAAAGCGGGAAGTTATTCGAAGAGGGACTATTTTGAGTCAACTACCGAGAACTTCTATGTCAGTAACAGTGAAACAACTGCAAAGTCATATGAGAGAAAAGTGGAAAAACTAAAACTTCACTAGAAAAATTTCCTACCTACAAACTTCCAAAGTAAATTTTTCACAGGTTCTACCAAAGGTAAATGCATTTCTATATGAGTACAAATTACTGAACGCCTTTAAGAAGAAAGCTCTGCAGATGTAATAGCAAGTGCATGGTACAACTCAAAGGTTCCTGAGCTGACAAGTTACCCAGAGCTATACTGAACTAGGCAGATTAGAATGCCCACTTTGAAATCAGTTGGTGATAGTGTTGAAATTTTATTAGAGTTAGGGAGAAATGATGTATTTTTATAACTAAAGGTAGCTGAATGTTTTAATATAGATGGAAATCCTACATTCTATGCTGTAAATTCAGTACTATTTTCTTTCTTTTCTCTGATCAGTGTTGGTACGCACTCTTAACAGAAAACACAAGGCCCTTTCTTTCACGAATTTAATGACACAAAGGAATGTACTACAAGATTTCTCCCCTCACTTATCTTCTTTACCAAAGCTGAATTTGTATGTCATCTGATGGTCTCTTCACTCTTTTCAATGGATGACCCAATTATGAATAAGATCTTAAGTAAACCCAGCAAAGAAAGGCATATATTGCCCATCATGAAAATCAAGAAGACATCTATTGTGTCTCTTTCCCCCTCTGTTTTTCTGTCTTTGCCTCCCCCACCCACACAGATATGAATACATACTCATATGCACAGACACACATACACAAACACACATATACACAGAGGCATTCAAAGATATATACACACAATCACAAAACAAAACGTATACACATACAGAGACTTACATACACACATAGATCAGAGACATACACAGACACACATACATACATATGTATAGACCCACATATATACATATGTATACACACAAATACACATACAGGCATGCATAGATTACACACAAACACACACACAGACACACATATGTACAGACATACACATACATATATACACTAAAATATATCCAAACACATACAGTAATAGACATACACATAGAAACAAACACTGACATATATGCATATATATACACTCATGGATGCACACACACATATGCTCATATCCACCAACACTCTTACATACATACACAGTTTGAGGATTTTTTCACAGAATCACAATGAATGTTGTGAAGGATCAAAAGTATTTTACTTCAAAGTTTTTCTGCTTTCATTAGAATCACTGAAACGTGCTGTTGTAGAACTGGAGAGCAGGAGAGCAGCTCCTTACAATGAATGTCCTGCCCTACTATCACTTCCACCCGAAAGACCATCTGTCCACAAGTGTCATCAGAGTTCTTCTTTGGTGCCTTTCATCTTTCCAACTCATCTTCCTTCACTCCAATTAGTAAACAATATGTAATTAACTAGTGAATCTTTGTAGTATTTCTTTCCTTTCAAAATTCAAATTTCAAATTTCATTTTCTTTTCAAAACATGTTGCTTATCCAGGCTAAATCCACGGGCATAACAAAAATGAAACTGTTAGATTATCATGTCTAAATGTTGAAAGGTGCTCTTCACATGCCAACTCAGTGTTCTCTGTCTGCATCTCCAATTCAAGCATCTGTTTGGACAACTTACAACTTGTTTTTACTAATTTTCTATATCATATGCAGATAGACAGTTACAAAGTATAGGATTGCTTAGCCAAACATGTTTTATAAAACTAATGCCATTATATTAAAAAAAACTTCTGCTATATCTTTGTGCACTAGTTTCATAATAAATATATTTAAATGATTCAATAGGACTTCTTTCATTAAAAAAATGTTTACCAAAATTCTTTGAATATAAAAATACTTTTTAAAAACTGAAAGAAAAGCCCACTGTAAATTTAGTTGTATAAACATTTCTTAGAGAATGCTGTTTTCACTAAGAATTATATTGAAAATCATTCTTTTAGACGTAGACTAAAACTATTAACTATTTCATAATGCTGACAACGACAAAGAAACAGGAAAAGCTAATTCACTTTGATGTAGGAACAGGAAAATGTCTACGCACCAATAAAAATAATATAGCTTTGATTTCTTAAAGGCTACCTTTCTAACATATAAATAAAATAACCTTACCTGATTTAAAGTGATAGTAAGTATATAGAAGTACAGAAAGCCAACTTAAGGGTTTGGCATACAAACCCACGACCATTTGGAACATGGTAACTACTGAAAAACAAATAATATTAATATTGAATGCATCCTTTATTCTCATCAGGGAATCCCAACAAGTACACAACAATGTTGACCTCTAAGATACCCACTTCTTCAGGGGCTAGTAGTATTCATAGTGAAACTGCTCAAATTCTGGTTTTTGCATAAGAAGGAGAGATCAATACCTGACTCTAGAAGGAGGAGGAGCAGGGGAAATACAAATAACATCAGTCCTAGGCCCACCACAAGGAGCCTGGAGCAACGCTTGACTATAGGGTTGACCCAGATACGGCCGGTCAGGATGGAATAGCTCCATGACAAAGCCTGACGAGCTTCCTTAGGTTCCTCCTCTTCAGCCATCAAAAATGCATTGTCATCTGCTTCCAATTCCTCGAATGAATCTGTGTCTTCTCTTTCTAATTCGAGCCAAGATGGACAATCAAAAAGCATGTCAGTTTCATCCTCATCCACTGCAGTAGGGAGCAGCCTGGCTCTGGGATTGTATACTAGTTCAGAGATGGTCAAGGAGTCTTCTTTTACTTTATCTTCCTTGTCACTCAGAGGATCTGCACTCGGAGCTCCCTTCACTGGTGAACTGGCAATCAGGGGCTCAGAAACATCTGCTTTAGGCAGTGGGGTACCTGGAAAGAAACATTTTATAAATTTTAAATTTCATGTTTTCTTGTTTCACAAAAATCTAGATGTAGAAATATGTGGAGTTTAAGGTATACATGAAACTGTTCTGCGGAATGTTGACTTTAAACAAAATCAGGTTAGTAATAGACCTCACACTGTAAGTTCTTGGCTTAATAAGATACACCTAAAATAACAGTGACCAACGGTTGTAAACACATTTAGGTTTGTGACTCTGGTCTGTAGACCTCTGACTATGGGCAGGTTTTCAAAATTAATCTGAACATTATTCAGCCATACATTATAACTCCAAGTGAAGTCTTGTAGTATTCAACACTATATCACAATAGAGTATTTTTAAGAGAATACTAGAGTAAAACTATAGAATCTACTGTCCAAGAATAATCACATTATACTTCTGATACATATTTTCTAGTCTTCATCCTAGACACAATTTTGGAATTTCTGGTTGTTGTATTGAATGAAATTTTCTCCAAGTGAAAACATTACACCTTGGAGAGAAACTTTTTAAGGGTCAAGATGGTCTAAGGCAGTGGTTCCCAACCTTTCTAATGCTGTGACCCTTTAATACATTTCCACTTGTGATGATCCCCATTCATAAAATTATTTTGTTTCTACTTCATAACTGTAATTTTGCTACTGCTGTGAATGGTATTGTAAATATCTGATACATGACCCCCTATGGGGGTCACAATCCATAAGTTGAAAACTGCTGGTCCAAAGGGGTACTCAGTAAGACTCAGTAATTAAACCTTCAGAAAGTCCCTGAAACTGACCAGATATGTGAGGCCTCTCCTTCTCCAAGCTTATATAACAGTAAAGAAGGCTAAAAGATGTTCCTTGACAAGTTGAGTTGCTGAGAAAAGTCTTAGACAAACTGAGTTTACTGGAAGAGAAAGACCAGTTAAACTGTCTTGGAAAGGTTCAGACTGACTGAGACACCTGGAAGAGACATTTTCTATCCCTGTCAAGCTACCTAAAAGACATGCAGTGGACTCCCATGTTCCAGCTTTTGTGTGCTTTCATCAATACTGGGATGGATTTTTAATGATGCAGCTGTCTTTGAGTCATTTTTGTTCCTATAAGTAACCCCTCACCATTATTCCTGTAAATAACCTCACTAAACTCATTGGTTAACCAAGTTAGATTTTGGTAGCATCCTTAAATTAATTTTTCATGGGTCTATATCTGGGATGAGTGTCATACAACACAGATACTAAATACAAATTGACCATCTGATGCATGAACCCAAAATCTGAAGGCTCTGACATCCAAAAATGTTTCCCATTAGAATGTTCAGAAATTTGAGTCCTGTAGAAGGTCTTGGATTTTGGAGAATTTTTAATCTCAAGCTTCCAGTTTAAAGACAGTCAATTAGTAAACTCTAAAAAATATCCCCAAATTTAGGGAAACTCTCTGAAATCTGAAATACTCATATCCAAGATATTTGGGTGAAGAATATTTAATCTGTAACTGTAGCCACACTGTGTTCACAAAGTCACCATTTGCTCTTTTAATTTATCATTTAAGTTTGGACATTTTCATTTGGAAATTTGTGCTTTGTTAACATGGAAAATAAGTTGTTCTTAGTATGATTGTAGGAGAAAAAAAAAGTCCCAGGAACTACTTTTACATATAAAGTTAATTTCCATTATGTTTCAGTCCATTTCCCTTAGATGTATATCCAGAAGGCAAACTGCTTGATCAAAGGGTATATCCTTTAAATTTTTCATAGGGAAAGATAGATGTGTTTCTCAACACATGGAGAATGCAGTTACCTCCTTTCAACCTTAGAAGCTGGGTCTCCTTACTGAGCCTTAAGTTCTTAATGAGAACTAAACAAAATATCAAAGGTATTTTCTCTAGGATAAATCAGCACCAACTAGCCAAACAAACTGGTAAATGTGAAACAAAATATTTCACAAATTCTTTGTCATCAAGATATGTAGGAATAAGCTTTTTTTGGCTTTTATCTTTCAAAAGTCAACAGATTTTTTTTGGTAGATCCGAGGAAAGAGCAGCACCCAGTCTTAATGAAAAGGACCATTTAAAATAATCCCTGAAAACATTCAAATAACATTACAGACTGAGTAAGTATACACACACACACACACACACACACACACACACACACACATACACACACACACAAACACACACATGTACACCAACAAATAAAGAAAAAGTGATCATGAATTTTGAAGAGATCAAGGGGGTAGGTGGGAGGACTTGGAGGGAGGAAATGAAAGGGAAAATAGTATAAATATAATCTCAAAAAATTAAAATAATTCATATACTAATGACTACTAAGCATCAGGAAACGTTCAACATCATAAGTCATCAAGGAACTACAAATCAAAACTACAATATACAGAACGTCAGGGCTACTAGTATATTAATCCTAAAAAAAATAAGTGTTAGAGAGAATATGATGAAATTTGAACATATTGTGAGACCAAAATGAGCCATCTTAGAAATAAGACCAAAATGCTTTCACCCTAAAATTAAGGCCTAAGATTTCTCCTTTTGGGAATAGGCCATTAGTTACTGAAACCAGTCAGTTCAGATTCCAGAAACAAGGAAGTGTAAAAGTACAGAGTCACAAGATAGTCACGAGGTAATGCCTGCCAGACTATGGAATGTCCTCTCCCTGGTTTCCAGGGCAACTGACCACAGAAATGCCCCCACCTGAGGGCAGCCAATGAGAAATGGTGGTGGGCAACCACTCCCTTAGAAGTAATTTCTAGAAGTCCCTACAAGCGAGCCAATCAGAATTGTATCCATACTAGCACCCCTAAATGATGTAACCTTGTGACTTTTCCCTTTAAAAACTGAGCTTGCAGACAGGTGGGTGCTTCCTCCAGCCTCCACTGCGTTGGATGTATTGGACGAAGTCCCTGCCTAGGCTTGTATTGCTTTTGGATATCCAGAATTAAACCTTGCTTTTGCATTCCGGCATGCTCGGCATGCTCGTCTTTGGTGGTCTCTCTGGGGGTCACGATCTGGGCACAACAATATATTGGAAGAAGGAATGTAATATGCTCAGTCACTATGAACAAAATGTTGGTGGTTTCTCGAAGAGTCAAATCTAGAATTATCTATCATATGACCCAGTAATTCCACTCATAGGCACATTCTCCAAAACAAAAACAAAGAACTTGAAATACATATTCCAAATTTTTTATTGACAGATGTTCATAGCAATTCAATGAAAATTGTTAAAAAATAAAAATTCCCCTGATATTTTTCAGTGGATGCCTGTATAAAGAAAGTGTGATCTATCTATTCAACAAAGTATTATCCGACATATAAAACAGCAATGTGCTGATCAACCATAAAGCATAGAAAAAACGTCAGCACTATATGCTCAGTGAAGGAAGCCAGACACAAAAGGTCACCTAATCTGTGTTTGCATTGAAATAGCAAATGTATGGAAAATCACAGAAACAGAAAACATTATGGTGTCACAAAGAACTATGGGAGGAAAGGAATGTATAGTAACTGTAACAGTAACTGCTTAAGAGTTTGATTTTCCTTATAGGTGATGAAAATGTGTGGCACTAGATAGAATTAGTTGTCTGCCAGTGGTTATGTCCTAAATGCCAGTGAATTGTTGGTTTAAAATAGTTCACACTTTGTTAAATAAACTGCATCTCAGTGAAGAAAGAAATATAAACCATAAATTTTTTCCTCTTATATAAGGCTCTGTGAAAACTGAAGGGAGTATATAGACATAGATTAGGGGAGGTGGAAAGTGTTGTGGCCTTTAGGAATGTTCAGTGTCTTTATAAGGGTTTTTTCTCCCTAGCAGGAGGCTCTCTGGACTCTTCTGTTTAGAAAACAATGAAATCTTCCACCAAATATGAATGGTACACTGCTACTGCAAGACTATCTCCTCTTGCTTTGTTTTGTTTGTCTGGTCATAAATATGGTACTGTAGAGTGGCCCCCAAACAGCTTGACCACACAGCTGCCATGACAGGCTTAGAGGCCCAAACATGGCTTCTGGCCGATTCCACCTAGTGGGGCCTGCATCTAAGGGGATACCTGAAGCCCAGACACAGCTTCTGGCAGGCAACACCTGGACCCTGGAAGAGACAAAAGCTAACCCCATCCAGTGGGGCGTGTGTCTAAGAGGAAATACCTGACATTCCAAACATTCCTTATACTAGACAAGTCAGCCATTCAGGGTGCTGAACTGTGGAAATCCCCTCACCCCAACCTCTGCTATGATTAAAAAAAAAAAATCTTGCCTGGGCTCTCTGCTCTCACTCCTGTGGAGGACAGAGGGCCCAAGCTCTGAGCTTGAAACAATAAAGGCTCTTTTACATGCGGGATTCAGTCTCCATGGTGGTGTTTTTGAGGTCCCTGAAATCTGGGCATAACAGTACATGCTCTTCTTTTGTTTCTGAAAGAATTTCCATGTCTTCCTTTACTCTTCCACTTTCTGTATCTTCTGCTTTCTCTATACTTCTCCTATAATCAGGGTAAGGGAAATCTTGAGCTTACAGAATACAGCATGTTTTGATGGGAATCCCATACTCCAGCTGCTTAGACCAAACCTTTAATCTCCTTACTGAAACTCACGCTAGGCCTGTGGTTGGCTTCTGTATATCTGCCTGCAGAATCACATGCCCTGTGCCCTGAATCACATGTCCAGGACAACTTCTTAGTCTCTCCATTTGTTCTACCTATCTCAGAGCCAATGTCCTTTCTCATGTAAATTCTAGCAATCGTATCCTATCCTATCACCTTGTCTCAGCCTTTGCCCACTTGGGGGCTGCTACCAACAGAAACTGCAGCTATTCTTTATAAACATAAGGTGGATGAAGCCACTGAAAACATTCTTTCATGGTTTGTCTTCTACAGAGGAAATGATAATTCTTCCCAACTGTGCCTTGAGTCCTACACAGTGTGCTCTCCCCTGCACTCCTAAACTTGGTCCCTTATAACTCAGACCCATAACCTGACCAGACTAAATGTGAACT